TTCGAGCAATGGATAACGAGTGTGAACAGTATGATAAAACCGTAATTTGTCGACACACGATTTTTTTTTTAAAGTGTTTTTTTATCGCGAAGTAATTAGTTGAAAGTAGGAAAGTTAACTTATATACGATGAAAAATTTTTTGAAAACAATTTTGAAATATTTTTTCCAACGCATTGAACAAAATGAGCTGATAACTACGTAAGTACACGAAAACATGTTACTACACCTACACGTAATCAGTTTGAATGATAACAATCGGACTTGGAGTCTATAGTTAACCGAGCCATTGCTTCGAAATTTATTTTTCAGGTGACGTTTCATACCTTATTCTTTTTACTATGTTTTGTACTTTCAAAATACCGATTGTTTTTTACATCTATTATACTTGTTTTCCAATATAATTCGATACACATCGTAAGAACAATTTCTTATCAAATTCCAGAAGAATTTGTGGCAAATAATATTTTGCTCCGAAATTTCACAGAATGCCTGGATTACACAAGCCACACGTACCCAATGGGTGTCGCAATAACAAAGTAATGACCTTACTAAATATTGTACAAACATGATATTTCGTATAGCTACGATTACACACCCACACTGTTCAGGGCACAGTGCAAAACCGCTGAATAACATCATAGGTAGGTACAAAACGCGTAGTACATAATGGTAAAACATGTTCTCCTCGCAGCCTCGTCCTTACCAGGTTTTATAACAACAAGAGCGCGAAAAAAGCCGCAGCATCATCAGGAGAGAGCGACATGTCGACGCGGAGGAGAGCCTGTACATGTTTTCCTTAAAATCGAACGAACTCTCGAGGCATATATTCTTAAATGCGAGAGAGTGAAATAAGGTCCGTTGCGTCAAGTGACGTGGCGCGTGGACGGTCACCCGGACTCGTCATCGTTGTTATTTGACTCCGATGAGCCGCCACCCGCCGCCGCCAGTTCGGAGTCAAGTGCACGCACACTCCGAATTTTTCAACCTCTTCTTCTTTTCCTTTTTCAACAAAGTAAGTACCCAAGTAATAAGGGCCAAATCCAGCGATCTCGTTGATACGCCGATGTCTATCAATTGCAAGTATTTCAACCTTAAATGCATAAAAATCGCACAAGTGGGTACGAACGAGTATTATCCTCCCACGAGAGAGGGACCGGGTAGTAATTATGTCGTCGTAATCGTCCACGAGGACAATACTAACTAAGCAGATGAATCGTTGAATGATAAGTACACCCATCATGTGGAGGTGGAGGGTATACGGTGCGCATACTTACTTCCTCGCGCCGGCGCACCTCAACCTGGAGCCGCTTGTGGTACTCCTCGCACTCGTCCTTGTACTTTTCCATTTCCTCCTTGGTCTGGCGCATCTTCTTTTTCAACACGTCGAGCAGCGTGCCCTGCACCTGAGTCGACATCTTCTCTTCTTCAAAATACAAAACACACGCACTCTAGTACAGGTCGAGATCCGGGGGGTAACGAGCTGATTTGCACAGCCGCAACCACACCTTCGGGGAAGAATCAATTGGTGTATAAAAACACACTGTCTAGGCTATCTTACTCTGGACTATTAGGTGTATATGAATGTAGAAGTATGTACGTAGGTATGCCTGAGATAGAAAGTGTATATTATACACACACAAACGCAGAAGACAGGCTAGCTTGTGTTCTTTCTCTCTTGCTCGTAAACGTGTCTACGTGTGCGACGTGTAATATATATATATATATATATATTTTTTTTTTATCGGCACCTTTAACGCACGCACTTTCGTGTACTGTAACCCACACGCACACACACACGCCCTGTAAACGCGACACGTAGGTTGTTGTATATACACCGCCTTTTTTTTTTGGAGCACACGCACGCCGCGTTGGTGTTTCAACAACGTATATGGATATGGGAAGAATAAATAAAGTATTTATCAAATACGAGCACTGCAGCACACGAACAACAGGAACAACCGAAAGCCGTAGAGACCTGCTGCTACAGCCAACAATGTAACAATGCCTGATACAAGAGTGTATATTGTACGGTTAATAAGCGCGGGCGACGACGACGACGGTGTGCCTGCTGCTGCTGACTATCTCCGGCTTCGCGACGACGACCACTGACTGCCTTCGTCGTTAAGTATCTATCGCTGTGAGTACACTATACATATATTTTCGCTCTCCCTGCTTTGGAGCTGCTGGAGTAGCACTGTAGCAGTAGAGTTTTGCTCCGAGGTGTGTATATGTGTGTAACTATATATACGCACGTACTGTATACATGTGAACATGCGTACACCTATATGTATATATATATATATCTCTTTCCGTCCTCCTCTTTCAGCTCCAACTTTATATACAGAGACCGGTCACTCGTTCTCGACGCTGATGGTGGTTCAACCTATCTTTCTCTGTTAAGTAAAAGTGTGTATGCTTACACGTAGTCTATACTAACTACTAACAGATACACACTACTTATTTGGTGAGTCACTAATACTTTGGATTGTGCCAGCGCATTTCAAAATGGCTCCCGGAGCCGCTGCTGCATCGGACATGAGACTTGTGACCTATACGGAGAGAGGATATTATACGTAGGTACCCTGGGTAAGTGTAGTAGTTTGGTTTGGTGTATTATTTATTGTATTAATACGATTGTAAACTCGGGGTGTTTGTGTGTGTGTAGGTTGATACAAAACACCTACTGAAAACTAAGAGGCACGACGCATGCGCGCACCGGTGACGATCGACGATGAAGAGACAATATAGACAAGGACTGACTACCTCTACTGCTGGGAGTGCAGGGGGAAGATCCTGAGTAGTGGGGGAGGAGGAGTTGCAAAAAGTTTTTTGCGGGTGCTACATCCTCGGCCGCTTGTAAGTGCATAAAACTTATACATATATATTTATTAATTAAAAGCTTTACTCGCTGATTAATCACAAGACATTTTTTTAAAGTTCTTTTTCTCTCCTCGTTCGTTTCACACTAATTGCCGAACAAAATTGTTTATTGAAATCAGTACATGATAAATCAGTAAGGATGGTATCGCAATAAAAAAAAGTGGGGGAGTTAAGAGTGCACGACTTAATAATATAATTATCACCTACAAGCACTCACAGGTATGTATTTTACCTGATTGAATGAAAAAATAAAAAGATGGGAATGGCAGACGGGAGTCAAGTTTTATCCAAATCGACTGTCGATTTAAATTTACGTTTCCCAGTTTTAGTTGGTGCGAGGTCCGAGACACTATTTGGCGCCTACAGTATACTTCAAACGTTCAAAAAATCGGTTGCTGTTTCAACACTCACATGACCCCCAAAACAGCTATGAAATTCCTAAAAAAAAAAAAGTTCTCATCGATTGGTACGAGTACGGTAATATTTCAAAGTCCTACATGGCACGTTTAGGTGTTTACGCGCATGAGAACGTGGGAGGAGGAGGCGGGAGTTTGCGTAAAAAGTCCGGAAGCACACCGCGCCCAAACGTTTGAATCGCTCCTTTGATTCCCCCCTATGTATTCATGTGTACATACACACATAAACTCCCACGCACACACTTATGAGAGAGCTTTTAATTGTGCGTCGCAACACGCGCGGCAGGGGGAAATTATACACCATGTAAAACGCAGCGGAAGGAGGTCCCTTCCCAGCTTTTTCTTTTGTTTTTTTTTTTTTCGCTGCCGTCCTCTAAATTAGGGTCGTGCAGAAATATTTTTTCACTCATAATTCAATTTAAAATTAAGAGTAGTACACTTAATTACGTGCCAGCGAGAGCTTGCACGCAATTGCAGGCGTTGTTTATGTATAATATTATTTTTGACTGCCTAGGGTTTGGAGTCTGCGGGTAATTAGCCAAAGCTAATTAGCTGCTAAGATTGGGTACCTTTGAAAATTAATATAACGATGTATTAATCATCGTTACGAATCGAGTGAGTAATGTATTTAACGTGTGTAGTTATGATTGAAATTGGAAGTTATTTTTGCCATTCCAGAAGACAGATGTATGTTTAAAATTAAATTCATCTCTAAAAATTGTAAACGACTTTTTTTTTTTTTTTTTTTAGTGAACGCCGAAAGTGTAAGTAAGTTTATTGATTTAAACGACAGACCATGATTGAAAATTAGTTATGTAAAAAAAAAAATAAAAGTATGTATAAGATATTCTTATAAAACGGTTATAATCCGTCGACGTATTTGTAATTCTGAGTAATGCATTTATGTGTTTCGAAATACCGTCAATACTGATAAAACATTACATGAAAATTGTGGAATGGCTTTATATGAAAAAACAATTTAATCATCAACGATTCGTTCAAACTTTATATAATCAACTATATAAGACAAACATCCAATCACCACTGTAGACTTTCTTTTAATATAAATATATTTTTAAACCAATCTCTTTAAGTGAATTTATATTGTAGACATGTGAACCAAACATATGACTCACAAGTATACATGAAGCAATAAGCCTTTCAAAGAAACAGCTTTCCAAATAGTTAAGTAAGAGACTGTAAATAAAAATGCAATATTCCAAGAAAACGAAAGTAAAAGAGTAACAGTAATAGCGATGATCCACGTGTCATGCTTGCACAATGTTCCAATCCTCCCCAATTCAATTGGAATCAAAGGTACTGGATTATATTAACCATAAGAGAGATGCATTATTAATAGAACGTTGGCAACGTGACGTCACATGAGGTAACTCGCCTGTTGCAAGTGTAACCAAGAAAAAACTTCTCAGTATATTTAACACTGCATTTCTCGCCATACTCCCAAGTAAAAAATAACCAGAGACAAGCTTGCAAGCACAATGAAACGTTAATTTTTTGATTTTGGTGATAATGTTATAAACGGAAAAAAACAACATTTAAAGCAACCAAGTTTCCTTTGTTTTTAGAAGCAAAGCAACCATAAAATTATCGGTTGAATGGACAAAGAAAACCCGCGTGCTCATAATGGGCCCTAAACATGTATTGTTGTTTTTACCCAATCACCCTGCCAGACTGATACTGACCCTTTTGAGCTGATTGCCCATTATATTTTGCAGCTCGTTCCTAATGAGACTGAACTTCATCATGGTATCGCTGGAGAATATCGAGCAGCCAAAGGCCAGGCCAGGATAATCAGCGCATCGTTTGCGCCGCCTGGCCTCCCGCTCAGCCTGAACCTCGGTCCTTTCGCTGGGACACCTTAACTTGGCCAACTCGACGATCTCCGGATCCTCCTCCACAACAACGCTCTCCTCGTCCGAATTGCCATCGCCCCGGGCTCTCGCGACCGCGTGCTCGAGCTCGGGGCTCTTGCAGCTCTCCTCGTCATTGTCGTCGTCGGAGAAGCTACCGGCCCCAAGAGCCGGCTTTGTTGTTCTCGACCCTCTGACCTCGTCATCCCGACCACACTGCGCGGGTCTTTCGTTGCGGATGATTTTGGCATCCCCACTGTTTGTTTCCAGCAGAGAGTTGGGCCTGGAGGCGCCGAGCACCCGTCTGGATGGCAGGCGCCTCGGGCTGTTGACAGTGACAGCCTGTGCGATGGCATCTTCGGCCGCACCGACAGGACCACACTGCGCGGGTCCTTTGTCGGGGGTCGAGGAGAAGCTCGAGGATGTTGTTGTTGTTGTTTTCGCAGCTGTCGTCTGATTGTTGTTGTCAACAACGATCAACGTCGTCTGCTGATTCTGGTGGAGGTCCAGACGGCGCCTCGTTGCGTTACGAGGGTGGTGCTGGTGACCCCGGCGTCTGCTCGTCGACGAGAGCACGGGCTCCATCGGAGGGGGCCCTAAACCCTGACCTTTGCTCCCTACTATCTCATGATGATGGCCCCTCGATTTACTATTTTTCTCTCTCTCCCTTGTTCTTATTGTCTGCTGCTACTACTATACTATACTACCACTGCTGCTGACGCTGGCGATTATGATGCAGATGCTGACTTTTGTGTATACTGTCGAAAAGAGGTTAGGTCGAGCGCTGCACAGCTGACGAGTGCTCTCGTGTGCTCCTTGTCGTACAAATATACTGTTAACGCTGCCCTTCATAATCTTGTCTCTTTCTGTTTGCGCTCGCGTATGTTTGCGTGGATAAACACAAACAAAAAAAGTGTGAAACCGTGCGTCCCGACTTTTTCACTGTCGCTAAGTCGTCGGCCGATGAGACCGACGCCATTTTTCCATGCTCGCCGCTAGATGGCGCGCTCTGCGGCGGGAATATTTGAAAGTAGCGCAGCGGGGGGGGGGCGTGCACACAAATACACCGAGCTTTTTGACACAAAGAGAGTGAGATATGGATGGGGATTTGTGTATGCGGATGGCTTGGTGCGCGCGGCACGACTGCGAGCGGATTTCACACACGGGCAAGAGCGTCCGAGGCGGCAGGCAAGGGGGGAGAAACGAAGAAAAGAGAGACGGCGGACGAAGGTCGGTTTTCTCTCGCGCCGAGAGCGCCGGATACGAATTTGGACCGATACCTATGACGCTGGTGCTCCTCCTCTTCTTTTTCTTCTCGATGGTTGCGTAGGTGGTGTATATGCGCCCGTTGCCGGGGCGTCGCGCTCTTTTAACTTTGGCTTTTCCCTCGTTCTCCCTATAAAACGGCTCGTCGCGGCCGCTTACCCGCGATTTCGAGAAAGCCGAGCAGACCTGCTGGTTTGCTTCTTTTTTTTCCGCGCAAGCTTCGAAACGGAATATTTCGCTTCGTAAGATTTGCACGAATGGATTACGTGCCCGTTCGATGCTCCAACGAGGGTTGCGATGCGGGGGGCTACTTTTAGAATTCGATCGGTGTTTATTCAGCTGCGGGAAACGTGATTTCGATACGGTTTTCCATGAAAGATCGGTAATTATAGAATTTCTCGGGTACCGGTTGCTTCGAGCTTGCAAGCTGTACAGTTGATCCTTCGTCGGTCTTCTACATAGACGATACGAATATCGAGATAAGACTACCGGTATAGACAATGTTTTTTTTTTTTTATAATCTAATCAATGCTGGCTCTCCTAGGTATTACGGTGAAGCTCCGAGCGAATTAAAAGATTTTTCTTAATTTTGGAAACCATATTTTTGACAGTTAGTCGATCATGTCTTTTCTTTTACAAAAATAATCGCTTGTTTCTTGAAACATTCGCCTGACATGTTAAATCGATTTCTGTATCTCTGGTATTTTTTACTCGCGAGTAAAGTACAAATGAGTGTTATTTATTGGTACGAATAAGTAACCTGTTTCTACAAATAATGACAAGCTAGAATTTTTCCACGGAAAAATTTTATACCTACGAGTATCTCGATAATAAATTAATTTGATAGCTAGTGCAATATACCCAATAGTAATGTCCAGTTGATGCACCTTTCGATAATAACCCAGTGGTAAAATAATCGGTAATAAACATGAAAAAGAAAGAAAGAACACGCCAAGACAATACCACAATGAATTCCTCGTTATCTCGATTTTTTTTTTTTGCCGTGCAAATGTTTAAATATGACATCTGTATTCGGTAAGACAACACCAGCGTCCGTCTTGTATAGCGGCGTCATGACATTCTTGACGTGTTTCCAAATATACATAACGTGTACTTGTGTTGTACATTATCATAAGGTCGCGGACTCTTCTGCTTTCGGTAAATTACTGGCTAATGATTCATATCGATGTTTTTCTTTTTCTTTTTTTTCCCTACTGCATACCAATGTGGCTTTTTGTTAATTGTTTTTTTTATTACAGGTGAAATCAATTATACCTCGATAACGATCGTATTCACCCTTTTTCTTGACGTGTTTTCAAAGCCGTTGAACTAATAGTGACCAAACAGTCACATTTTCCTTCAAATTATTTTAGTCCTCTCAATAAGTACAATAAGATTAAAAAAAAAATGCTTGCTAACTCTAAGATAACACTACGAGGTAATGCCGAAATTGTTTCATCATTCCGTCACCTATAGCATTGAATTTTTTAAACGTAACAGCCCAATTTTTACATGACTCATCATCGCACGTTTCAAAGCACAGAAACTTTGTCAAATCAGCACCATCGACAGCTTCCGTTTCTAAATCAACATGTGCGTTAAGCAGCTGTTCATCGACACTAGTCGAACCTCTTGCCAATATACCAACTTAACGATCCCCCAAATCATGATCCAAACGAGACGATAGAAATTCTAAGAGTGGAAAGACAAAAAGGTGGTTACTCACGTTCTGGAGGGCCTTGTCCTTCTCCTCGAGTTTGGCGTTGACCTGCATGAGGGCCTCCTGGGTCTGGTCGAGCTCATTCTCGATGGTCTGGATCTTCTTCTGGAGCGCGCGGGCCTCCTCCTCAGCCTGTATTTCCCCGTTTCGGAAAACAAAACCACCACGTTTACAAAGAATCACGAGCAACCGATTTTTCTTTTTTTTTTTTTACCGATCTCGCGATACATACACCGCCTCGGAGTATCGAATTTCACCCACACGTAACATACATCAAAAGTTATCCCTCGGAAATTCGATACCCTTCGAAAGGATCTACAAAATAGTTACGCAATTGCCCAGTGGCGAAAGTTTAGCGTTAATTGGATTGGATATTCATAAATTGGTGATAAAACAACGAGCGACTCGTTATATCTAATTAGTCCGTGAAACCAATCAAAAAGTAATTCGTTTTTCTTTTTTCTTTTTCCAACCATCGATAAGATAATCGCTTGTGGAAAATTTCGGCATGATAAAGGTAATCGTCAGTGTCATAATACAAGGGGGTGTGGAGAATCACCTTTTCCGCGCGTGCGTTGGCGTCGCGGGCCTGCTGTTCGCAGAGTAGGGCGCGGTCCATCGCGTTGTCCTTCTCGAGCTTCATGCCCTGCATCTTCTTCTTGATCGCATCCATGGTGATGGCTTTGTTGGCTCGGTTGTCACGTCAAGTGTACTGAAATTCATGAGAAAAGACACATTTTCATTTTTTTTTTTTTTTTTTTTTCACGAGCACGCACACGTATACATATACTTACGCATCGTGTGCGCAGCGGTTCTCTCTCCTCTCCGGATATCCGCGCGGCAAAAGAGAATCGACGCCCGCCAGCCCGACGACGCTACTCCCATGTAATAATAACAATAATGTATGCCTATAGTACGCGTTAACGTGTGTGGGTCTAATTGCCGGCAAATTCCCTTTTTTTTTTCTTTACAGAGAACTTCTTTTTTTTTTTTTTTTTTTTTTTTTTTTTTTTTTTTTTTTTTTTTTTTTTTTTTTTTTNTCATTGCCTCCAGCGAATTCAGAAACGAGTCATTGTCCAAACTGTACATCTCCTCCGAGTTGTCCTGAAACAATTGAAAGAATCGAGTTACCAAAGCCACCCAATGTGGGGGAAAAACAAAAAAAAAAAAAAAAAAAAAAAAAACATGATGGCGATGCAGAGTAAAAGTCGTCGTTTTTCGGCTCTCGGCTTGCATTACGCGCCTCCGTGTGTTGGTGCGTGCGTATAATTAGTCCGGCGACCGGGTAGCTTGCGCGCGAGCTTTATTTATAGCGGAAGGTCTTAGCTGCTACACTCGCTCTCTCTCTGGACCGAAGGAACGAGCGTGTGCGAACATAAGAGGGAGAAAGATCGGTAAGACGGGAAACCGAGCGCTCCAGTTTCGGAGGGACTGGAATGGAATTCCAAAGGTTTTTCAAAGTAAACGCGCGTAATAATTGGTCACCGATGGTTCACAAAATATCGGAGCCTGTATACTCACGAGTGGAAACCGATCGAGCAAAGAATCCACGACGCCGATTTCCGCTCGCTCGGAAGTATAATCGGGAGTTACACCTTGTTGTATTTCAAGATGCCGGGCCATCCACTCGCCCGTCGATGACATAATCCGGCAAACTTGGCCGGTAGTTTATTTTAAAATATCCCCCCCCCTATCCCGACGGCCCCAATAACGCGCGCATGTGTGTTTGTATCACACCCGCGACAAAAGCCATTATTAATCCCGATCTCGGAGTAACCTGCCTCTCCTTCATACCGATCCGCAAACGATCTTAGCGTCGCGTGAAATACGATCTACCGATTTTTGTTTGCTTTCTCTAAAGTAAAATTAAAAAAAAAAAAAGGAGGTGCAAAGAAAGGGATATTTTTACGCGCGCGTAAAAGAAGAGGAGGTGGGCCGGTTGGGCAAGAGGAGAAGCCGGCGAGGGGCGTCCGAACCATTTCGGGTTAGCGGCACCTCCTCTCTCTCTTTTTCGGTGGTGTCTCCTTACACACCGGCGCTGCCGATCCGCACAATCCGGCCAGCTCGGAAAAATCGCCAGCACCAAACTTTTTTTTATTTTACACGCCGTCGCCCACGCCCGTGCAACGTTTTTTTCTTCTCCCTAGCTTCGCGATATATCGGGCCGAGCTGTTTTAATTTAGCGCTCGTTGTGGATCCGTATACGTGATCGTCTACCGTTGGATGGGCACGTACGGATGGTTATTGGCAAATAGATGATAAAATCGGTTGGGCACGTTTTGCTTATTGTTTTCATCGGCTTGCGATGACGTGTAGTACACATCAGCAGCCATTGAAAGTAAGCAAAAACCAAAAAGACGATGCCACGGTCGAAGCGTTTTGCGTGGCACCAATTACCTTGTAATACACATATATATATGCTTATAGCCAAGTGCAGCGGTGCGAATTAATTGCTCTCACTATATATAACGTGCCCGAGATATCTATTTTTTTTAAATCCTGGTAAGATGAACGTAAAAAAACGCCAATCCACTGAGAAACGTCGAAAAATAAGGTTGGGGGTTAGGAAGTAATAATACGAGCCGGTATTGTTTTTGTATTGAAAATTTCACAACTCTGCATCTCGTACACGATTGTTTTGATTGTAATTTCTGGTAATCGTTGACCAAGACGGATGTAACGCGATCCACGAATAAGTTTTCGAAAGATCACTCAAAACAACAGTCCACGTCCCGATCGCCCTAAGGTCGTTAGCATTTTTACTTTGAACAACAATGAAAATGGTAAACTTGTCACGCTTTACAATTGTACCAAAAAAATCGTCGTACCGATCGTTATGAAAAATATGCCAAAAAAAAGAATACACTGTAAACACAAAAGCAACGAATAACAAATTAAAGTCACACAAAACCCCCCCGTCTCGAGTACTTATACGAGCACCCGCACAAACGTACCGCTCGCTTGAAAGACCAGCAGCAGTTTATATCTCTCTGCGCGCGAATTCCACGTGTCTCCTGTACTGCACAGCCATCAGCCCCATCACGCGCGCGCGCGCCCCGAAAGAATGCGGCCGGATTTTCCCTAAAAATAGCCCCCCCCCCCCCCCACTCCCAACACTAGAATATATTTTTTCCCGCATCCCTCGATACGTGCAATGTTACACTTTGCAAAAAGATGTGTTTATAAATTAAAAACTGCATGGTATTTGCATGCATGATGTACTCACATCTAAAAGTCTCTAAGATCGGCGCAACAGCGTCGTCCGGTGCAGCCGGTTGGTTGGTTGGATGCTGACGAAATCGGCGAAGGTGAAAAAGTAACGATTAGGAAAACCAGACAATGGAAAAAAAAGTAAAAAAAAAAAAAAGAGAGAGAGAAGACGAATCGAGGAGAGAGACTCGTTGAATCTCAGCGGGTGCGCGCTCGATCGAGAAGTTTAAACGCGACTGACGGCAGCGGCGCCCGAAAAGCTCTCTCTCTCTCCGCGCCGCGTCTTTTCCGATGCCTCTCCGCTCCCCACCCCCTCCGACAGCCTTTTCTCTCGCTTTCGCCCCGATCGCTCGAGTTTCCTCTCTCGTCCTTCGCATCTTTCTTTCTTTCTTATACTTGCACAAACGCCCTCTCTTTCGCTCTATAGAGTGGGCCAAGTCGAGCCGATGACTCGCACCGGTGACTTTTATGATGTACCTGCAACTTGCACATCACGTGGCTCCACGATAGTGTACCTTGCCGCGCTTACGCGTGATCTACCTGTATGGGAAACCGATCCACCCTCGCGATGATGACTATACACATATATGCGTGCAGTAATTGCACCTTTGATTTTTTTTTCTTTTTTCTTTTTTTTTCTACTGTCGCCCAAAAAGCCGCGCGCTCGTTTTCTTTCGTCTCCTTTTCGCGGCGTATATCTTTAGAAACGCGCGAGACTCCCGTCGAAGAACGAGAGCCCAGCTAGTTTCGAAATCGCCTGAACGTGCGCGTTTGTGTATAATATTTTGCGCTTTATTTTTATCGCGCGGACGGATGGGGAGCAAAAAAAAAAAAACGAATAAAATACACGCGTTGAAATTTGCAGGAGGATACAGTGTTCGTGGAGAAGAACGGATACTGTGTTTCGTGCGGCAAGTGATTTTTTTTTTTTTTTTTTTGTTTCAAAAGACGAATATTTTTGTGTATTGAATCAGAGGTATACTTGGAAATTCGATAAAGAGCCCGTAATGACAATGTAACGACTCAGTCGTTAAATGGGTGTATTTCATAAAAATGTGCTGACAAGACGGCTCATGTACGTGCATGCCGATTCTTCCTAATTGGAAGTGTGTGACCACTAAATTGTACAGCGGAATCGGGCTGGATGCTAATCGCTTTTACCAAATGTTGATGTGCTTTTTTTTTCGTGGGAAAAAAAAAAAAAAAAAAAAAAAAAGCGTGCAACGAAGTGACTTCCGCGGCTCAACACTCGTTCGGAACTAATTAAAAAAGAAATTTACCACTCGTAACCAATTAGACGCATTTTCTCTTCTTGTACTATTACCTACTTACTTATGCCACTTGGGCATACGTTTATCATTTGCTTTTCAACATCTTCACTCAATAAAAAGTGCATTTAATGCTCGAGCGATTACAGCTAGCTCCGTTTTCAAGTATGTTGGATGTTTATTTAACCAAAATTATATATAGTCTCGGGCTCTTTGACTTTTGCAACAATAGCTTCGATAATATACCAGATTGGAGTCTTGCAAGCTAACAATTTGCTCTTGCGTAAGCAATTCCAAAGTGTCCACACGACAAGTCCGATACGAGTATAAATATACCGCGTCGAACCAAGGAATATTTTTTTGCCCCCTCCCGAGCAGTCGCTCCGCCGACGGATATAAATTTTCGCCCGAAACCACGTAAGTATCGCGATAAAAATAAACACAAATCTCGATACAAAACATACGTGCGCGAGTATATATATATATATNATAATGACTCCTCACTGCTATTTTTAAACGTTTTATCATCTTTATTCATCTGCTTCTCTGTAAACATTTATTGTATGTACATAGATTATATATATATATATGAGCGCCTCGTTACCCGCAAAACGATGTATAATATCATCACCAGAAGAATATACTTACTCTGCAGGTGTCCTTCGAAACGAAAACAAACCGATCCCCTCCCTTGACACCTCGTCGATCGAGCAATACACCCATATAGAGTAAAATCTCGGGCACCCGAGGCCACACACGTCTCTCTCTCTCCAAAGACCAAAAGTTTCGATTTCCAAATCGCCCCCCCCCTCCCCCCACTTTTTTTTTCTTTTACGCATCAACTCTTCCTCGGGTGAGGACGCGAAAAGAGAGCTGCCGATCGAATGCGTGTCACGGTCGCGTTTCCTCGACAGGCGCCATCCGAGGACTGCACAAAGTAGACCCAATTATCAATTGTTGTATGCTTGGAAGCTCGGGTGGATCTTTGACGGAACTTCATTTTTTTTTTCGTGCGATCAAATCTTAGTTCGGTTTTGGATTAGGAATGGTGTATTTATTTATTCACTTCAATATACTTTTCACAATATTTAAATGCACTTTAACTCGTGACTGTCAGTAAATCAGTAAATCAGACTGCCCACGATGTTACCACCCGGTGCGTAGTTGCAGACGAGAAGGAGATTATTCATCCCCATGTTCTTGTACACCGTCTTGTATTTAACGGCCCCGCAACCTATTCTTGTCGTTTCGGCCCAAACGATTTGCGTGTAGTGACCGACGGTTTTGCCATTCTGTTTTCCAGAGACGAACTTTGACGTACGCCCGTCGAAGTTGACCACCTCGTCGTACCATTTTTTAACCAATTCTTTAATTAAAATCACACTATTTTTAATATCCATTGTCGTTCCTTTGTACCCGATATTTTGGCCGACGTAATCTTTTGCTGAAATGTGTAATATATACATCTTCGTTAGATCAGGTATGCAGATCCTCCTGTTTTTTCCACTATTTTACATTATAATCATTATTAATACGTCGATCCTCGAACCGATTTCAAGATAATTATATTATTAATGTTCCACCAGAGGCGAAAACATTTTTACGCGTGTCCATACAAAAAACAATAAATATCATAAACGAATTGACATGTGTAACGCGGTAATTAGTGTTCTTACGTGTATTTCTGCACGCGTCGTGCTTTATCTGGCATTGATCGGCCCAATGTTGTGCAATCTTAGCGATTTCTTCGTCCCACTTCTGAAAATCGTGTACATCGATACTTGCAATAATTTTATTATTGTCAGAAACCTCACAATTTATGGGTTAAAAAAAAATTTGAATAGATAAGCAGTATCATCAACATTAAGCATATTGCTCTTTAGCAGGAAAAAATTTAGTTAGTAAGTAAGTGGATGACGAAAATTACCAAATTGGCCATTTTTCCGTTTTGTAATTTTCGTTGTGGTCCCGGATTTCCACGTATTTCTTGTCCACTAGCTACTTTCCGTCTCAGTTCATTGTGCAACTCTACGATTGCTTTTTTCTCATCTCCACTCAATCCACTTGAGATGCCATCTTTGCACTTGTTTTGGGGAGTCTGAGAATTATTTTTAAAAAATCGTACTATCAGATACATTGGGAAGTCTTATGTTTACCAATTTGAATGGCTGTCACTTTCAACCCCTTAAATATAGTTTCAACTCACAACTTGGAACTATGATTTTTAACGTTTGAAATGAGCAAAAACTTGGTAAAAACTTTAAACTGGTAAAAACAAATTCATGGGAGTGAGAAATACAGGCACAAGTTGATTTTTTTACATTGGGATTTTTAGGATAAAAATACCAATTATAAGATGCACATGTACATACTGAAGGAGATGGGAGCTCATAAAAATAAAATTTAATAAATAACCACCCCGAAATCGTAAATTTTTTTTTTCATGTAAGAGAAAATGATAAATAACTTACGTAAGCGCAAAGGGTGTGCTCCTTCCGGGTTCCCCTGTCATTGCAGCTTTCCAGGTTACAGTACTGAGCACTGGTGTAAGTCACGACTGTCAAAAGAAAAATGAAGCCTTTCATCTTAGTATTACTGGGTGACTTTGATCGCTCCAGAAGTGAAATAAAATTGTCGAAAACACGAGGAAACTTTTTAATAAAAAAAAAAATATACGTATATTAAAGAGAACAGTGGCAAATTTTTATCAGGAAAAAGTAGAGCTTTGGTTGGTTGCTTTTTTTTTAATGTTTAGGATGATGTAATTTTGAATAAATAACCGTAATTATGCAAAAGGGACCTTTTTTTTGTTTCGTATGAAAAAATTCGAGGAGTAAAATAAGGACAGGAGTCTACGTAAAAATAGGGTTTTGTGTTTGAGGCGATGCGAAAAAAAGGGGGGTCAACGACAGCTGGGCCCAGAAGAGTATGTGCGATTCGAGTGAAACGTCGACGTCTCGTTGGCACAGTACTAAGACGAACTAAGAAAGACTGACTTTTTGCATGTTCTTTGTGTTTTGGATTGGCATTATGTTTTTTGTCATCCCAGGTATTGTATATCAGTCCGTACGTGACGGAACGTATTAGTTTGAAATAAACAAATGCCTGCTTTATCACTTTGACGTAGATTTTACTTTTGTATTTGCCGTTTTTATGACTGACAATGTACTAGTCCGCCGTGTTGCGAAATAAAATATTAAATTTTTATCATTTTGAATTTCATATGTATTAATACGTTTTTGATCTTTTAATATTATTAGGTATCGTAATTTACTCAATTCGTTATTAAAAAAGAAAATGTTACATAGACTCATGGAACCAACTTCTTGATTTTTAAGCGCAGCACACACATCTGTCAGAATATTGGGTTAAAATATTATACGAGTACTGTAAACTATTTATAAAAAGTGATGTTGCCCAGTGGCAAGTGCTGTGATTCAATGTTTTAATGCCATATTTAATAGGGATATACAAACGGTTCTACGCAAATATAATTATAAAGATGTAATTCATATGTTTACCTCGTAACAATGGCAGAAGCTTTAATAGTATAATTATTTTAATTATGACTGATTATTTTTGTAAAGTAACAAAAAAAAAAGTTTTTATAAATAAATCGAACCTAATAATATCTTGAAAACAAATAATGACTCCTCACTGCTATTTTTAAACGTTTTATCATCTTTATTCATCTGCTTCTCTGTAAACATTTATTGTATGTACATAGATTAAAATTTCTTGTTCATTTCAACGGTCATGTATCGTATACTAAGCCAACGTGCACTTTTTAAATTGTTGTTATTTTTATTATTAATTTTTTTTTTAATAAAAAACTTACCATACGAAATTGTTACTGTTGTCATCACCAACACAAAATTAGTCATCATAATAATCATACAAAAGTTGATTGAAATATTTAAGAATTAATTCTACTAACTACTGCATTGATCAACTAATTCGTTATTGTTTATATATCTTAGAGTCATGTTAAATCATCGTGTTGCACAAAAATTCTTTTATTTATTGCCGTAACATAAACTCCATTGTAATTGTAATATTTTATTTTATGATTGCTGTAGAATGCAAACAATTTGTACGAGTTTTATGGTACTATGTAGATAATTTTTTGCTAGTCAATAATTAATGTTTTTTAAAAAATTCCACGCGCATGTTCAATAAGTAGAAATATAAAAAATTAAATGTATAAAGTAATTTTTTTCAATCATGAGGTATAAACTATATTAAACAGTACATACAGCTATAACTTTTTAGTTTTGTACGTAGATACATGTACATAAAAGTTTGCAAGCTGATTTAAGTAGTCAAGAACAACTTGTTTATTCAGTTATTTATATTAATAATTTTCTTAATTTAAATTAATTAATGCTATAAATCAAAGAATTTTTGAACGTTATTGAAACTGTACTTCATGATTTAAAAATTTTTTAATTATCTTCCTAAAAAAAAATTACTTTTATTTTACAATGACTGACACAAACTTTGAGTTATTTACGAGCACGACTGACATAAAATACGGAATAAAATCTAACTTCAGATAGTATAAATTGCAGTATAACAAAAAATTTTGTTCAAACTACTCTAAAGAATAATCCAAAGTGATAATAATTTTTAGGTATCTAACTACCTCAGATAATTTTTTATAAAATTATATTTGTTGGTGAATTGCGATAAAAAAATTAATTTATGAATTTTATTATGAAAACAACAGAGAAGCGACTGATTCATTCGGTTAAAAAAAATGTATGCATCAGGAAAGTCCGTTTGATTCTAAAAAATTCGAAACTGCAATTTAATTTACTTCTCTCAGGCTCGGTGAACAGAAAATCAACAGTAGAGCGAAAAAAAAAAAAAAAAAAATTAACTCTCTCTCTCCACACAACCCTAAGCGACATGAAATAAGCATCGCCATCGCGAAAAGAGCTACGTTCTAAAAATAAATCTTGAAAAACTCTCTTGAAAATCCTTCGATCGATCAAGAAATCCAGGGATCCCTGCGGACGCGCTCTCGAGCAATACATCACGGTAGAGGGTCAAGGCACCGTCACCAACAGGAGACTCCAAAAATTCGCCCGTACAAAGCGCAAAACATTCCCCCCTCCCCCCGATGCCCTCGAGCTCCACACCGCCAAGGACCTCCTCTCCTGAAACATCAACTCTTTCTCTCTCTCTCTCTCTCGACTACTTTTAAACTCCAGCAGATGAATCACACCGCGCGCGCGCGCTTTTATCGCGCATCGATGTTCGCATTACGTGATTCACCTCTCGGAGCTCTCATTTTTGCACGTTTCGCTTACTACGTTTTCTCGGTCGCGAAAGTTGTTGTAAGCGACGATGCAATCCCTAAATCATGTCGTAGCAACGCGTGTACGCACGCACAATCGGTATCGAAATAATCCCAATAATCGTCAAAAATGATAAGGACACGCTTTTGCACGAGCAAGACGATAAATTGAGGGATATGGGACAATTTAATCTGCCCTTCCATGGCGAAAGAAGAAAAATAAATGTCATATTTATGCAATTCGTGCGTGAAAAAATTACTTCATCGGGGGGATCCAAGGAGGCGGGGGAAAAACAATTTTACCAACAAGGCCGCCAGAGTGTAGTAAGACCGAGCGTCGAGGTGAGGCGGTGAGAGTCGGGAAGAGCCATTAAAATGCACGATCTGGTGTATATTGCGTTTTAATACCTTTTAGGGGGTGTACGCGCAACGAAAGATCCTTGACTGCTTTTGCGAGCGTTGATCATCAAAACGTATTTGTCGCGAGTGATTATATCCTTTTTTTTTTTTTTTTTTTTTTTTTTTGTTTCAAATGATTTAATTTATACGAGTAATGATACTTCAGGAATTTTGAGAACGATTTATTTTTCATAAAANCATATACATACCCGTGTAATAAGATTTTCTGGAATAGTCGTATTAATCTGTGTACGGGCGAGGGGTAATATTAAAAAACAGTTTTCATTCTTCGTTTTCTTCATTTATTTACAATGACGAAGATCTTGAGGTCACACGAGCACAAATACCTACGTATCGTCGCTCTATATTCTACAAATCACGAAATGAATCAAGTTTTGCATGATCTTTCGTCACCTTTTTTTTTTCTTCGTTCTTCATATATGTGAAATAGGAAAAAAAAAAAAAAAACAACAACCACAAACGTGTAAGTCTACGCTCTCTTTGTTTTCACACGACATACAATTTTTTTTTTTTTTTCACTCTCGACATTTACAATTCATTCGTATAGAAATATAATTGAATCTAACTTCTACATGCTATACTTAAACACTAATGTTGAAGAAGATTTCTTCTGATGTCTAAAAAGCTCGCGCGTGGATCGCATATACTAATATGTTGTACTTACGTGTTGTTGGTGTAAATGTTTGTGTGACGTGAACAAATTTTTCTTTTTTTTCAGGAATCATGTCGATATCGTTGTTCAACTATTCGCTTATTAGCTAATGGAATGAATAATAGCAAATGCTTCGTGTTTCTTAAAGTTTCGTATGGTTAAGCCGAAAATAATTAATAATTTATCGTTGCGATGGTTTTAAACCAAAATCTTTTGCATCGTTTATTTCATTTTATTAATTTATCGACTAACAATTAAGTACAAGATTTACTAGCATAAAGCTCTCGATTCATTGCTTTTTTCGTATATATATATATACTTACAAATACGTTTTTTTTTTTGTAAACTATAAAAATAATAACTAAATTTGTCAATACTAATGCGTGTATAAAAAGATTGAAAAAAAATTGATAGGCTCGATGGTTTGCTGCCTCATAGATATGTGGATGTGTGGATGTGGATTACCCGTGTGTTGTGTATTTCACAAAAGGCAGAGCGAATACAATTTGATTTGACTATATTTTCTACTTGAAAAAATTTTAATTCTTCTTTTGGTCCGACGCGACAGTTTTCGATTAAATGAAATCACACTGTCTTTCTCTCTCGATACAGTTCAATAATGTGTGTGATGGTAATCAAATGAATCAAAAAAAAAAAGTGTTTGAAAGTGTATCTGTTGATATTACAGTTGTAGAAGAGTACGCACTTTGTAACGAGTTATCTGAAGATTTTTTTTCAATTAAGCGACAGTAAACCGTAGACGTGAAGTTCGAAGAAAGATATTCATTACATTTTCGCTTGAATCACTTTGGCGTTTGGAAAAAACATCCATTACGTTATTGCATGGGAAACTACTTATCATCGACAGAAAGAAAAGTTTTTTTTTTTTTTTTCGCTGAGTAACATTGATTTATCTTTATAACAAAATAAATCTACTTTTATTTTAATTTACAGCGATGTATTTGATTTTAAAATTTGTTATCCGGTTGAAAGTATCGTGCAAGCATTGATGATTATTTCCATGTTTTTACCAACCAAATGACACAAAAAACTTAAATTTTTATCATTCAAATTGACTGATATTTACAAAAATTGACACTTGTTTGAAAATAAAACTATTGGAATAAAACAATAATGCTACATTGATATTTTTATGAGTTGTAATAAAAAAATATATATTCACGTGTATAATATCACTAAATTCTGTCATCAAAAAAATCGCATTGGATACTCTATACTAGGAGAAAAGCTACTTTTAATTTTTTCGTGTAAAGAGGGAGGACAGAGCTCAGAGAGACACAGACTCTCTCAGTACAGTTATCGACTTAGTTTGCGGTGCAACTTAAAATACTGTTTGATAAAAAAATCTTTTCGATATGTCTTACAGCTCTATATAAATGTATTCGCAATTTCATGTACAATTGGGAGGAAAAAAAAAACACTACAGCCGTACACGTGTGCACACTCGCGACACATCGTGTCTATGAAAAAATTATACTTCTCGTCTCGAACATGCAATACATTTTTATTTGTTTACATAAAAAATTGCAGGATATATCCTCATTGATTGTAAATCATTAATCATTGGATGGAATTAAAAGCAGTGTCATTATTCAATTTCTGTAGAAAAAAAAAAAACAATTAATAAATAAAAAAAAATAAAGAAAGAAAGTAAGAAACAAGATTTCAAGTAAATCTCTCCGATATAAAATAAAAACACGAGTCCCTTCTCAATATAATCTAGAAGGAGCAACGAAAACTGTACATACACGTATTAAACAGGCGTTGCCTGTTTCGTCATTATTTGTACTTATCGCTTAATTTAATCGTCTTAACATTAAATTTAGAATATATATGTATATATTCACTTGAAAGTACATCGAATTATTGCACTCTTCATCTCTCTCTCTCTATATATATCCTATTGACTCCTTGTTTTGTCATCATCTTCGATAAAGAGCCATCAGAACTACATTATACGTAAATCCTTCGAAATATATAATACACGATACACGTCGAATTGAGCCCCGTGGGCATAAACTAGTAAAGTGTACTCCCTCAAATGTTCTACAAACTACGTTTATCCACGTTACTCAAACAGTTCAGTTTCACTCGGTGCTTCGGATCGCCAGGATCTCCCTTTTATCTTCTTCTTCTTCTCGTGAAAAAATATAACCCACTACGGTTGTTCGTACCCTCGGCGCGTAGTACCCACAGGGTCACAGCTTCGTGTGCTTGACGCTGTCCGTCCAGTAGTTCTGTATCGTCATTGCCTCCAGCGAATTCAGAAACGAGTCATTGTCCAAACTGTACATCTCCTCCGAGTTGTCCTGAAACAATTGAAAGAATCGAGTTACCAAAGCCACCCAATGTGGGGGAAAAACAAAAAAAAAAAAAAAAAAAAAAACGATCGCAAACCATTACCCTTATCGTAGAGTCGTCGATGTACCCAGAGCTGTCGGGGTTGCTGCACTTGTCGCTGTTGAGAGTCTGCGGTGGATTGAGATATCTCCGTCTGAAACGACATTCGATCAGTACTCACTTTCTATTTATTACATATAATTAAAAAAAAAATACTAATAAAAAGTAGGTACCTGTACATGATAAACCCGACACTGCCCACTGTGCTGAGCAGCGCAACGACAGCCAAGCAGCTCCCGGTTATCGCCGCGATTTCCGTCACGTAAGACTCGGAGCTCGTCTTTCGCGACTCCCCCTCTTCGTTACCACCATTGCGTTGCTGCTGCTGCTGCTGCTGCTGCTGCTGCTGCTGTTCGTCCAGTGTCCGCTGCTCGTGCTGGAATTCGTTGATAAAAGTGCCCCGGGCTCGGCCCAGTCTTGTAGAATCGCCGGCCGTACCAGCTACGGGGGAACAATCGAATGGTACATTAATTTCGGGATAATACCTCGGGAAGATCGATATTTCTTTCCAAGAGGTAAAGCCACTCGGTTAAAAATATACAAGACTGTCGTGAAAAAAAAGGAACTTTTACTGTATTTCGAGCAAATGGTCGCAATTCTGTAAAATGTACCTCTTCTTGTTTTGTTTCGTATATGAAAAAGTTTGAGAAGTACAATATGGAGTCTACGTGAAAATAGGGTTTTGTGTTTGAGACGATGCGAAAAAAAGGGGGTCAACGACAGCTGAGTCGACGTAGCGTTGGCACGGTACAACATCTCTTTTTATACGAATGCATATGAATTAGGTCAATGATGTCATCTCCAATTATATTTACGCTGATTTCTTGCATATGTACTTTTTTTTTAATTAAGTTATGGTAAACCGTATAGCAAGCTTTCAATAAAAAAAAAAAAATAAAATAAAATAAAATGAACACACTTCGATCTCGTGGCACAGTTAAAAAAATGTCCGTACCATCGTCTGATGTCCTTTTTCTTTCTCTCTCTCACGCGTTTATACATACGTATCCCAGTCTCTCCTGTAATTCCGATCAAGCCTCCAATTCACCGGCAACGCGCGCGTGTCATCCGTCAATTACGTCAGAGCCCCTCGTGTCTATGATCAACGTGAAAAATTGTACCCCCAGCCCACCCCCCTCTCAGTCCCTCTTTCTGATTTCCATGCACAAAAGAACCCCCACGTTTTCAATTTTTCTTCCCTTTCATTTCTCACGCACACGTTGTGTAATACCTCGGCTCGCAAGAACCGTATCTATACTACACAAGTATACACACGTGACGTCGATCAACCCCATGTATATACATATATATACGAACCATCGAGCACCGACGCAGCCGTGGCGACGAGCCGCGTCTCTTCCCTGCCCCCGGCCACCAGCACCATGGACCGATTGCCGATCGGCAGGTCATCCCTACCGATGGAGTTGGCCCGGTCCTCCCTGAGCGGCATCACGGTGAGCGGCTCCTCACTGCTCGTCGGCACCACCGTGCTCGTCAGGGTTTTGTTTTTCGACCGCGACGGCTTCACGTAGCCCACGATCGACGTGATCTTGGCCTCCTTCTTGCCGGGCACGCGGCCGGTTTGCGTTGTCCACGTCGTCTTGTCCGGTGGCGTCGGGCTGAGCGTCGCGTTTACGGACGGGGAGCTACACGACGGGAGACCAATCAATACACCATGTACGGCTCAACAACTAGTACAGTGAGACACTAACCTCGTTCCGTTTGGGCTCGGGGGTGCGACAGGGCCGTCGGTGGTCCGGAGGGGACTTTTGGGGGAGTCCGTGGTGACCAGCATCCTGAGACTCTCCGATGGTCCATCCACGGGGAGGCCAATGGCCTTGGCGATCCTGTAGTTCTGCTGGAGTTTGGCCAGGGTCTCGACCGTCGTGTGGTCCAGCATCGAGCTCTGGAGGATCCCTGGCGAGGATGTCGTCGGCTCTTCGGGCCGGTGGGTTGTCGGTGGGCTCGTCAGGGCCACTGGACACACATTAGGCTTTTCAGGATTGAGTCGTTGGGAGGAACGAGCACGGGGAGAGAGAAAAATATAGAGGCCATTGTTCCGGCCAAATTGCCGATTTCGTGCGCGCGCCCTAATGAGATCGTTAAGACCGGAGGAGGCTTGGAGTTTAATGGCCCGACAATTGGAGCGGAAACTCGGGTGGAGCGCTCGACGGAGGGGAAATTGATCGTTTGGATTGAAAATTTTCTTGTTGCGCTCGCTTTGTGTTTGGCTTTGCTTGGACGTTAATGTCTTGTACGCTGGTGTGTACGCGCTATTTTTTAACTTGTTATTTAAAATTTTAATTGAAAAGAAAGGGTAAAAAATATATTCATTAAATTTACTCCCTGTGCTTCTAGTGGCGAGTTTATTTTATTGTTTTCAATGTTGATTGTCAATTTTTAAATAATGAGAGAAAGTCGCTACTGACAACCTGATTGCGATCCCGATTGAATTTTACGAGTCTTATTCATTAAAAAAGCACCAATTTTTTCTTTGACGTCCCGCGTTTTACAACCGGATTACATAACGCATGAGTTGACAGTACTTGCAAGGCCTTTTTTTTTTTTTTTTGCACAAAAATCGCCAAGTAAGTAATACTTGCACTGTATAAGTACAATACCATGCACTTGATGACTTTGAAAAACTCACCGACAATTTGTGCCGTAACCCAGAACCAGTGCATCCACCAATGCAGTGTCATCGCGTCATTGGAACAACGATAACCTGTAAAAACAAAGAATAAATTGATTTTAATCGCACGTGGGTGTTGGCAAATTTAATTACTCGATTCAATATTTTTTACGTATAAAATTCACGCGCTCAAAGCATTAGGGATGCCCGTAACGAAGTCAACAATAATGTGGTGTGTCCATAAAGCACAAGGAGGATTCAAAGCGCGAATCTCAAAAGATGATGCAGGTTGTACATGCCTATCTATGTACGCGCGTGAGTATCAGTCCCGCGCCCGCATCTGTCGCACGGTAGAAAACCGGATTTCGCCTCCTAAGTAGGTATGTACACGAGTTTCGCGCGCTCCTCCCTCCCTCCCCTCTACGGCTTCTTCTGAGTCATCGCGATCACCAGCTGGAGTTGCCGAGCGAAGGTCAAGAATCATCTTGATTTCGCAGACGGGAGATTATTTTCGCGATTTTTCAGGTTACTCTTTTTCTTTGTTTACCACCGAGAGAACAATGCACGCTCGTTGTCAGCTGGGACGAAAAGAAGATTAACCCGCGAGCTAGAAAGAGGACAATGCAGCGCTTGTCTCGGTCGCTCTGCATACAGTGAAATATGCTTTAATTTTACCGCGTGAACATTACTTTAACCACGAACACGCTTGGCCATTGTTGGGCATATAAGTACCACGCGCGTCATTATTACCATTAAAATTGACAAGAGAAATGAGGGAGCATACGCGTCTGTCACTAAATAATACGTCTTACACGCAATCATTACTTGTAATTAATCAATTCGGATAATCATCACCAATCGCTCAATACAAAATCATCGCGATCGTGGAAAAAAACAGCTCTACGGTATAATATCAGCGCGCCTACGCATTATGCGCTTTAAAGAAAAATTAAAAATAAAAAAAAATTCACAGCCAAGCCTCGCTTACGTAAGCCTCTATTGCACTCGTGGACTTAAACACGCTCTCGTATTGTGTATATGCTTGTATTCGATTGCGCTGCAGGCTATATTCAAGTATACTCCGTTGCGCTGGTTAAAGAACGAAATGCAGAAAAATTGAGAAAATTTAACGAAGAGCCACTACGATTAGTGCGCGCGTGTAATCAAACAAAAATAAATGTCAACGCCATACTTTAACCAAAGAGTGGCACTTAATTTCCAATACAGACCCGACTAAAGTGAAAACACTTATTTTTCCGCTCTATCGGCTTTTGCGCGCGTATACCTTATCCGTATATCGCCAGCAGCTCTCACTTCATTAGCGCTTGCGCAACGGGATATTGTTCAACAAAGAGAGCGAGATTAAGTATAGGATACCGTCGCAGAGGGGCGATTGCAGGATGACGAACAATCGTATTTTTAGACTTATTTGTCGATTTTTCGTAGAAACGCGCGTAAAAAAACTTGTTCAAACGCGAGGTAAGACGCATGTGGGTGATACGAAAAAATGTTACAATCAAACAATCGCAAAAAATCAGGAGCACGCCTATGTATATGTATACCCACTGCACTTATGCACCTCCTGTATATGGAAATGGAAAAAAAAAAAAAACGAAACGAAAAATAAGAAACGTCCATCTGTCAGATGTTTGGGCCTGTACATATACGCGTGCACGTGTAATAAAAGCGGACAAGAGGGAGCTTATCCTTGCTTAGATCGGCGAACAGTTGGGTCATCGTAGGCCGATGGTCATGCTCGCGTGCTGGCCAGCCGAGGGCAACCGGCCGTGCCTCCGTACCTCCACCAACTGTTTTGTGTACGTATATGGAGGCACGGTAGTGAGTATATAAATATACATACATACACTCACATATAGAGAAGAAGAAGAAGAAGAAGTTAAGAGAGCGCGAAGGAGAAAAAGGTGTTGCTGCATGTATACGTAGGTATAATAATATAAGGTCCGAGGAGCCTTTCTCGATGGCCTCTGGTTGTACACCCATATCCCAGTGATGCACTTACACCATATAACAGGATTCTTGTGTGCAGCGGAGAGGGACATAACATATATATGAGGATGCCCGAGGGCGATTTATTTTATTTAGCTAACGGCCCGAGTGGGCCTTTTTGTTTTAATGGTAAAAAATTATATGCAATGCAGAGACAAAAACTGGATAGCTTCCTTCGTTTGCTATAATTTATCGATTGCTGTTTTTGAAAGCGGAGATTTGGAGTAGGTGCTTTGGTACATGGGGAAGGAAAGGAGAGGGGTATTATGAAATCCGCATCGCTAAATTGCGTGCACAGAGCGCGTTTTATCAATTACGCGGACGCAAGAGGGAAATCCTTTGCGCAATGAATAATCTTTTGCTAGAGAGAAAAGGAGTGGGTTGGGAGCTTTTCGTTGCTATTAAGACCATTGCGGGTGCTTGATTGAAATGAAACGCTGATAAGATATTACTTTCGAGTTTTCGGAGAACACTCATGAAATTTACCTGTCTATCATATAGAGTATTCGTACCTCTGCAATTTAAGCAGATACATTGGCACAATTTTTTTTAATGGGTTTTTAAACACCTTGAAATTTTTTTTTTCTCGAATAAACTGTACTGCATAATTTTTGCTAAAAAATATTTCATACTCATCACTAATCACGATACAATATTGAGAACAACTTTTTTTTTTTTGTTTTTTTTTTTTTTTTTTAGTGCAATACACATTTGATATTAATGTTTATTGTCAAGCATTTCATGCAAAATATTTAAATACTTTTTCAAGTACCTTGAATCTTTTCTCTTCGATAATTGCTTTTTATTGAACTATAATGCATTTATTTTGGCGAATAAAAATTACTTTCTCAAGTACTGTATCAATTAGATGTGCGTCAAATTGCAAACTCTACGAATTAAACGGGGGAAAAAATAACGAAGGAGCCTATCTCTCATTTTTTACATAGATAACTCTTATACGTTCCATATATATTCACTGCTGTACCTTCATAATCGTTCATGTTAAGAAGAATGCATTGCACGCACACACATATGTGTGCCTACGCGCCGACCAGCTAAAAATACTCTAGCAACGAGACAAAAAAAAATTAAGGCATAAAACGAGTTTCCAAATCATTTATCGTGGGCTTCGTATGAAAAAAAAAGAAAAAAAAAAAAAGTGCTCGTTGCAGAGGAGGATACAATGGTGAGCCGAGATCAACGGACTCTTCCTTTTTGTGTTTACGTGTACGATAAATACATGTGTAGATGATGAAGAGTATAGAGGTACAAAGAAAGAAAGCGGGCGCGACCCAACAATAGCAAGATGGAAGGGATGGGCTTGAATCTCCAAGAGAGCCGTCAACCGGACGTGAAATATATGTACATGTGTCATAAGAGAGAGAGAGAGAACGAGGACATTCGCAACGTAAGGTTATTAAAAAATAAAACAAGAAAGAGGGTCGCGAGTTTCGCCGCTATACGATAAATAGTAAATTCCCATTTTGGGATTCATTCTATTCACCAGTCAATGACTTCCGACTGAATTTCAACTTGGCGATTTATAGTTTTAACGGATGACTATGCAATTGAGTACAGGTGATTAAGAATAATACATCATCTTAGTATCAGTTGGCAAACAATTAGTCCGCGATTCTTATCCGAGCTGCACGTTGTAGCGATGACTCATTGCAGGTGAACGGTGTTTATTTTTGTCTTCGTGCGCTTGATAATTTGTCACGATGCATATATAACTATATAGTACTCGTTAAAATTTTAATACCCAAAGTACAATGTCTTTTGTCGCGTCATCTTATCGTGTACCATGTAGTCGAATGACAACGAATAAATAACACGTGCCGTTCGGTGGATGGAACATTATCGATTACGATTACAATATAATTATTTACGTCCAATGGGTTCCAAGCTGAGTACCGATCCCGAGTACTAAAAAAGTACGTTGAAACGTTTGAATCCTTTGCCAAACACATGCATCACTAGATTCGCAACAATCAATCAACGGCGTCTACAGCGAACAGTGACAAAAAAAGGAAATCGACTACGGGTCGATCTAAACCGATTGACAAAACTTTTCAGGCACGAATGTAGGTGTCGGAAAAACACTTGGCACCCAGCTGATCCTCGATTTTTCCGGAGCTCATTTAAAAGTAAAATTTCGATCTAAAAAAAACACATAGTGGAGAACCCAAAGGAACATACCTGCCGAACGTCATAGACAAGGAGGAGCGAGAGGGCATGTGTATGTAGTGCACAAAGTGGAACACGCATCAAGTAGGTCGCTACGTAAATTGAATTTAATTACGCTCGTCGTCTACATACGTATACGCGTGGGATTCCGTGATGTTTTACTTTTTTTATTTGGTTTTTTTCTTGTTTATTTATTTATTATTATTTTTTTTTTTTCTTACGTAATAGAGTTTCTCTCCATAGTCAATCAAGCCCATTAAACTGCATCAATGTAATAGCGCTCGGGAACCTCATTTATGAGTAATGTAGCGCTACAACTCGATCAGTGAGTTACTTACCTCTGACCGAAACTGAGATTTCGATGTCAAAGTGCAATACAATAGGCGTTTGGGGAAAATTTTTTTAAAGAAAAAAAATAAAAAAGCTCTTGGTGGGTACTTTTCAAACGAACCCAAAATTCGTAATCGAGCCGTGCACGTGATACACTATATTCGATTAGCATATATTATTTCTTACGCAGAGGCATACATTTGAATAACAATGTTACACGTCTCGTGGGTTTGCGCGCGCCTCGTAATCCTCCTGACGGTCGATTAAATCAATGAATGTGCAAATTAACCGTGAATATATTCACGTTTGACCAAATTACCAATTACTTTATCGCGCTTCTGTTCTAATGGCACACATATTTCGTATGTATATAAAGGTACAAGTCTTAAATCAAGTGACTTTTTTTTTTTTTTTTTTTTTTTTTTCTACGTTTGGTGTGAACTTTTTTTGGATGTCAAGTGTAAAAAATGAGCGTGACGTTACCCATACTATTTGAATCGTTTGCTCTGACGTAAGCACACGGACCACCTTGTACGCCCATCTTCTTCAATTAATATGACACCATGTAT